CTTGAATTTTATAATGGACATATGTTTTATGATAATACATTAAAGATTTCTTCATTTTGAAAATGTAATGCATAGTTCCTCACCAAGGGTTTGAGAGATATTAAGATCAGAGGTGAGATCACTGAAATGACAAATCATGGCCCTGCTGATACCCTATAACTATTCCAAGTCAACTTTCTATCCGCCTCTGAGGGTAAACAAAACACCAGTACACCTTTTCTCTGCTCCAAGCTAGCGCCCTGGGAAGCACAAAATTCAAATGCTCACACCGATCTCCATGGTAGTGTAAGGAGACTTTTAGTGCTATGCACATATAATAATATACATGTATAACAGGGGCTAGAGGTGTGGCTCAGGGATAGAGGTATGCTTAGCATATATGGAGCTCATCAATACCCTCTTCTATCAGAAAAAGTGGGGGAGGAGTGTGTGGCAACAAAAGTACGCTCAGTCTGGACCAACTCAGAGCAGCTGTCATTCTCCTTCTAGTCAGGACATTTAGACTACTACTTATCACCGCCAGGCGTAACCACATTTCTCTATTCCCATTCTTAGATTCCTGGGGGGAAAAATCTGCCAGAATTCTTTGCTCTGGCTTAAATGTAAATGTGTCCCCTTCTTTGTTACCTAACATGTGGAGGGCAGGAAACCTACCCAGCCTTCCCTCAGCACTCATCTGGCTATCTTTCTTCTAAATGTTGGACTTGCTTTCCTGATACCCATCTCAAACCTTGACTCCTGGTCTCCCATGCCTGTCCATGCTAGCCTTTCCGATGAGCCTTTCCCAAGCCTCCCATTTAAAGAGGCCTGACCTCTTCCAATTCTAAACTAGGTTGAAGAAATGGTAAGCTAGAAAGTAAGCAAGCTCAGATATGTGCTTTATCTTATTTAGCCACAAAAATATTTAAAACCTCTGAAGACTAATTACCTAATGCCAGTACAGTGAGCTAGTCCAAGGCTCAGCTATTTAGGAATCACTTGAACCTAGAAGTTTAGGGCCAGCCAGGACAACATAGCGAGACCTTATCTCAAAAATTAAAATAAAGTGGTTAATAAGGTATTTTTGTATGTATTTTAAGACAATTAAAAATAATTTTAAAGATAGCTGGTGGTGGCACACGCCTTTAATCCATGCACTCAGAGCAGAGGCAGGTGGACCTCTGTGAGTTTGAGGCCAGTCTGGTCTACAGAGTGAGTTCTAGGACAGCCAGAGCTGTTACACAAAGAAACCCAGTCTTTAAAAAGCAATAGATAAATAAACAAACAAACAAACAAACGACAAAAAAATTTTAAATGGTACTTTGATGTTATGTCCACTTTGGAACTTTTTAAAATTAGGAGGTAGGAAGAGGAGAGAATTCAAGGCCAGTGTGGACTACCAGCAGATCTGATATCAAACAATAGTAGCTGAATATAATAGCACATGTCTTTAATTCCACCACTCTGAATAGAGGCAGGTGAATCTCTGTGAGTTCCAGGCCAGCCTGGTCTACATAACAAGTTCCAAGCCATCAAGGGCTAGATAGTAAGACCCTGTCTCAAAAAAAGAAAATCCAAACCAAATAAACAAAACAAACAGAAATAACAACAAAAACCATACAGCACATATAGAGATCATACATATACTTTCAGGCTTTATTTGAGAAAAGGAAAAAAAGTCATATCCAGAAACTTAGGCCTGCATTTTGCGTTAATGCTGTCTCTTTACTGCTAACCCCCCACCCCAGTTTGGCTTCTTGAGATCTATGTAGTTTTGTTTTGTTTTTTGTTTGATTGTTTGGTTAGTTGGTTTTTTTGACACAGGGCTTTTCAGTCACTATGGAGCCAGTCCTGGAACTAGCTCTGTAGACCAGGATGGCCTCAAACTCACAAAAATCCACCTGCCTCTGCCTCCTAAGTGCTGGGATTAAAGGCGCCACCACTGCCTGGTTTATGGAGTTGGGTTTTTTGTTTTGTTTTGTTTTGTTTTTTAAACTTAAATTTCTTTCCCCCTTTTTTTACTTAAGTTCTTCACCACCACCACCACCCCGCCCCGAGAAAGGGTTTCTCTGTGTAACAGTTTTAGCGGTCCTGCAACTTGCTTTGTAGACCAGGCCACTCCAAACTCACAGAGATCTGCCTGCTTCTGCCTCCCAAGTGTGCTAGGGTTAAAGGCATACACCACCACCTGGCTACTTAAATTCTAAAACTAGAAAGTCACTTTTTATAGTACAACTCACCAATGTCATCTACCAGCTAGAAAAGGTAAATGTCCGAGCCAGCCAATATCTCAGCAACCGCAGATAAACTTTAGTATCTTAGATCATTCTTAAGTGGACTGGTGGGCATGGTGGAATACACTTAAAATTCCATACTTGAGAGGTGGATATATGAAAATTATCAAGGCTAAATTATTATTTAGCCTGAGCTAAAATGAGACCTTTTTTTCCCAAAAAATCAAATATCCAGGCATTGTGGCACATACCTTTAATTCCAGTACTCATGAGGCAGAAGTAGGCAATCTCAGTGAGATTGAGGCCAGCCTGGTCTAAATAGCAAGTTCCAGGTCAGCTAGAGCTACACAATAAGACCCTGTCTCAAAACAAACAAACACAAAACTCAAATAAAACTAAGCAAATACAAAATAAACAATAAAAACTTAGGTGGGGGTGTCAAGACGAGTTCTTGGTAGAAGACTTGCAACTGAGCCCTAACAACAGAAGCAGGGTAGGTGGTGGGACAACAGTTAAAAACTACACCAAATCTTTCAATCTTGCCTGACAGCTGACAGCACCATGCTGTTCCTCATTCTCTCCTGATTATTTAAGCATTGTTCTTTAGTCATCCATGAAGCCTTCACCATCATCTCTAACTCACAGGGCTCATCTTTTGTGTTCTAGAGCGTTTGACATCGGCACTATTAGCTGTTTTACACCCCTTTGTCCAGTTGTACTTCAAATCCCTCACTCATTCAACAATACAAAGCAGATCCTCTAGGCCCTGAGGATACAGTGATAAAGCAGAAAACAGGTCCCTGCCATCATGCTTATTTTCCAATGGGCAAGGACAGAGGAATACAATATTTCAAATACTGATAAATATTTGGGGACATGTGCATCTAGGAGTGACTGGGAGGGGTTATAGTGATGAGGCGAGCAGGCCTGCTTTTCATCCCGCCCAGCTCCCGTAAGGCTAGCTTAGCCCCGGAGATAATAACACAGAAGCTGTATTCACTTAAACACTGCCTGGCCCATTATATCTAGACTCTTCTTGGCTAACTCTCACATCTTGCTTTAACCCATATCTAGTAATCTGTGTATCACCACGGGGTTGTGGCTTACCGGGAAGATTCTAACCTATGTCCATCTCAGGCTGGAGCTTCATGGCGTCTGCCTGACTCTGCTTTCTTTCTCCCAGCATTCTATTCGGTCTACTCCACCTATCTAAATCCTGCCCTATCAAAAAGCAAAGGCAATTTCTTTATTTAACCAATGAAAGTAACACATAGACAGATGACCCTCCTACATCAGGGGGTGAGGGCTACTTCCTCTTTAACAAGGCAAGTCAAGTTTTTACTACCAGCACTCTTGAGGCAGAGGCAGATGGATCTTTATGAACTCAAGGCAAACTTGGTCTACATAGTTCTAGGCCAGCCAAAGCTATATAGTAAAACCCTGTCTCAAAAATAAATAATTAAAAGGCAGATCAGGAGTCGGAGAGATGGCTCAGCTGCTTAAAGGACTTGTGGGGCTGAACAGATGGCTCAGTGGTTAAGAGCACTGACTGCTCTTCCAGAGGTCCTGAATTCAATTCCCAGCAACTACATGGTGGCTCACAGCCATCTATAATGAGACCTGGTGCCCTCTTCTGGCATGCGGGCATACATGGAAGGAATGTTGTATACATAAAAAAAAAAAAAGCACTTGTTGTTTGTTTTTACAGAAGACCCAGGTTTGGTTCTCAGCACTATATGGTGGCCCCCAACCATCTATAACTCCAGTTCCAAAGGATCTGATGCCCACTTCTGGCCTCTGAAAGCACCAAGTGTGCTTGCATGTGGTACACATACATACATTCAGGAAAAGCATTCATACATAAAAATAATAATAAATAAAATCTTAAAATTAAAGAGCAGATTAAGTGGAGACTTGAACTGCAAGTAGGAGTCAACCATGAGAAAACTATAAAAAGAGAATTCCAATCCAAGAAAAAACGAGAGGAACAGAAGTAGCTAGTGTACCTGAACCACAGGGAGTGCTATGGTCTGGGTGGTAGGAACTTCGCCCCCACTCACAGGCCCATGTATTGAAGGTCTGGGTTTGGATGAAGGCACTGAAAGGTGACTGCATCGTGAGAGTGCTGACTTCATCACTGCTTTAATTTACTAATGGGTTTCAAACTAACGGGGCTAGTAGGACATAGAGCCTGGCTGGAGAAGGCAGGCCACTAGGGGGCGTGCATTGCTCCAGACCATTACAATCTATGTCTGCTTCCTGACTTCTACCATGATGCTCACATGCCCAGATAAATTAAAGCCAACATGTATGGAACAAAACCTCTGCGACTGTCTTTCTTCCTTTAAATCACTTCTCTTGGATACTGTCAGAAAAATGAAAAATCAAAATAGGAAAGCCAGACAAAATGAGATTTAAGTAAGAAGGGATACAGAAGGGTAAGGCTGAGGCAGGCAGATGTCTGTGAATCTGAGGCAAGCCTGGTCTACATAGTGCTTTTCCAGCCAGTCACAGCTACATGGTGAAACTCTGCCTCAAAAAAAAGATTAAGAAGAAGAAAAAGAGAAGGAGGAAGAAGGAATAGAGATTCTATGAATGACTGGCCTGTACCGTTTTGTATTTTAAAGGCCAGCATTCAAAACATGTTTGAGTTTTTTACCATTTATAGTTTTGAAAACACCCACTTAACTTTTGTCCCCAACCATTGTGCTACTAAATCCACCATTCTTCCCATCCCTCCAATAAACAGTTTTATAGTGTGACTGCCTGGTCCCTGGAACCACTTACCCCTTTAATGAAGATAGGTTTCTCCTTTGTGCCAAAGTTCCAGATCATGATATCCCCCCCTTTGGAGCCCACAGCCACGGTACTGGGATGAGTCGGGTGCCATGCCAACGATGTAGTCCTCCTGTCAAAGGGGGCAGCTTTTTGGAATACCCGGTAAGAAGCCAGAGAGTGCAAAAAGAACTTTTGGAGACCCTAATACAGAGAAAATAGAATTAATCCGAATTCACTGAATTAAAACTCATGTCCTGACCTGGGCATGTGACACACAGCTTCAGGATTCAGGAGGCAGAGGCAGGTGCATTTCTGTGAGACTGAAGCCAGTCAGGTCTACATATAGAGATCCAGGCAAGCTGGAGGAACAGATATGGGTGCTGGGAACTGAACTCTTATATTTTTGGTTGTGAGCCTAGCCTTTAATGGCTGAGCCATCCCTCCAGGTCCATAGTGAGATCTTGTCTCAAAAACATAAATAAAGGGCTGGAGAGATGGCTCAGCGGTTAAGAGCATTGCCTGCTCTTCCAAAGGTCCTGAGTTCAATTCCCAGCAACCATATGGTGGCTCACAACCATCTGTAATGAGGCCTGGTGTCCTCTTCTGGCCTGCAGACAGAATACTGTATACATAATAAACAAATAAATATTAAAATTAAAAAAAAACATAAATAAAAATTAAATTAGAGTCCTGGGTAAACTGTCACTCCCTCATAGATAAGCATAAAGTCTTCTCTAGTCTTGTGCGTGGAATATCTGCAATGTAATGTTCACTAATCCTGGAAACAAAAGGGCAGAATGCATTTCAACTGGGATGTTTACAGGGTAAAACTTTTTCTCCTTGACTGGGCCTTCAGTAGGCCAGTCATCATAGCCAGGTGGCCGGACCACCCTGATAATCTGCTGAACTGATTTATCATCTAGTTAGAGCTAGCAGTAGTAGAAGCCCTTTGCACATCTCAGACAGGAAACATCTCACCTGCTGTAGTGATGACCAAGTGGCTTTGCCTAACTTCTGCTGGTAAAGATCCCTGATGATGCTGCTACTCCGTGGTGGGGTCTGTAGGCCAGACAACTCTGTCAAAAGGCAGCATGACTCACATTTCCTGCTGGATACTGCAAGAAGAACACATACACATTTTCCTCTCCACCATCTCAAGAAAGGTTTTTCCCCTGAAGCCCTTTGCTATCTCATTCAGTACAGCCAATCTGTGTCATCATTTCCTAAAAGCCTTTCCATGCACTGTTGAGTCTCACTCAACACAAGAAAGAAATAACGTTTCCCCCAAACACTCCTCCAAACAGTAATTCTGTTCTGAAACTAGATAAGACCTTGCAGGGTTCCTTAGAGTTGAGCCAAAGAGATACCCAATAAAGTACACTGTAGGCTCTTCTTGTATGGAATGACATAATTAGCAGGACTTGAGGGACAATCTTAAAAATCACATGCCAAAAATTTCTAGGACAGCATAGAAGTAATTGCTTAGGAAAGATGTTTGTCAACCTAAATGCCCTTCGACCAAAGAATGGATAAGGAAAATGTGGTACATTTACACAATGGAGTACTACACAGCAGAAAAAAAAATTAATGACATCTTGAATTTTGCAGGCAAATGGATAGAGCTAGAAAACATCATTTTGAGGTAACCCAGACACAGAAAGATAATTATCACATGCACTCACTCATAGGTGGTTTTTAATCATAGAGGAAAGAAAGCCAGCCTACAAACCACAATTCCAGAGAATCTAGACAACAATGAGGACACTAAGAGAGACTTACATAGATCTAATCTACATGGGAAGTAGAAAAAGACAAGATCTCCTGAGTAAATTGGGAGCATGGGATCCTTGGGAGAGGGTTGAAGGGGAGGGGAGAGGTAGGAAGGGTAGCAGAGAAAAATGAAGAGTTCAATAAAAATAATAAAAACAAAAAAGAAAAGATGTTTGTTTAATCTTATATTAAAATACTATGGTGGTGCAAAACTGTAATCCTAGCACTCAGAAGGCTGCAGCAGAAACAGCTTGAATTTGAGGCCAGCTTGGGCTATACACCAAGACTCTCTATTAAAACAATAATAATAATACTATGACAAGCAGCTGTTACTTAAGGGGGAAACAGAAGGATCCAGTAGGGTTTAGAAAAACTCAAATTGATTAGGTTGTTTCCATGGAGGGGGAGATAAACCGGAGTAGAATGAGATTAAAGCAATTCTGAATCACCAAGCCCTACTCATGGACCCAATCTCGCAGGTCCTTTCTCTTGACAACTTTCCTTTCTTCTGAAGGATAAAAACTACTCTACCAACTCAGAACATTCCTTAAAGCCCTGGTAAACCTCTGAGAATGAGCTTCCTGAAGAAAGGAGGGAGATTTCAGACTCACAGCTGAAACCCAAGGCCATAGAGCTAACAACACTGACTGGAAATTCAGCAACCATGGGCCTAAGAACGGTAGGATTCCTTTGAAACAGTACATATGTAAAACTTCTGAAATAAAGACGCAAAGTGGGGCCAGGTGGTGGTGGCGCACGCCTTTAATCCCAGCATTCAGGCAGCAGAGGCAGGCAGATCTCTGTTCGATCTGTTCGAGGCCAGCCTGGGCTACAAGAGTTTGTTCCAGGACAGTCTCCGAAGCAAGAACAGAGAAACCCTGTCTCGGAAAAAAAAAAAAAAAAAAAAGGTGGACTGTGGGTCTACAGTGATAGAGTTCATCTTCTTCCTGTTACCTGGAGTGGAGGTGGGGGGCAGTTAAGATTAAACTCTTTGGTGTCAATGAACTGGCAAATAAAATGCAGTCCGAAGTGGCAAACCACTTGCTTTGCGTACTGGAGGCCTGAGTTGAAACCTTAAACCTCCCAAATAAAATCACAGCCTGAGGCAACGAGGACTAGAAACTGCTTCTTCAGGGTCCTAGGCGCAAGCATCCCCACCCCAGCTTCGCCTTTGCCTGAGCACCCTGAACCACCGGAAAACGAAGACAAGCAGCGCAGGCCGTACCGAGACCCTGCGCACACAGCTTCTTGGCTTCGGGCTCCAGCTCCTGAGGACTTCTGGGGCTTTTGCTCTTGAGGAGCCGCGCAACGTCGGGGGACTTCTGGGTTTCTGCGCGTTTCTTGGGAACCATGGCGTACTCCGTGAAGAGATATCAGGCGCAATGGTAAAATAACGAAGCGAGGACTAAAAGCCTCTGAGGAGAGAACAGGAAGGGACTACGTACGAGGCAGCGCCGACGCAAGTAGCTCGACTGAGCCAACTTCGCGCCAAACGCTCCTAGGGCAGCTTTACTTTTAAGCCTCGTCCCGCCCCCTCAGGGCCGCCCCGCCCCTCGGAACCGCCCCGCCCCCTCGGGACTGCTACCGTGGGGGCCACCTCGCCCCCGGAACTGCCCCAGACTGTCTCGCCCCCTCGAGCCTGCCCCGCCCCTAGATGCCCCGCCTCTTCCGGGGAGGCGGGGCACGTGGGGTAACGCATGGAGTTTTTGTTTTGTTTAACTCCCTAAGAACTGGGATGTCGCCTATGTGTTGGGCTTGATAAAACTAGATTGTTTATATCCTAGCAAGAGTAAAGATCGGCCGGGTGGCGGTGGCAGTGCACGCTTTTAATCCCAGCACTTGGGAGGCAGAGACAGGCGGATCTCTGTGAGTTTCTGGCCAGCCTGGTCTACAAAGAGAGTTCTAGGTCAGCCAGGACAACACAGAGAAACCCTGTCTAAAAAAACAAAACAAACAAACAAGCAAAAAGATCCAGGTTTCTAAAAATATAAAAATGTCATTGTTTCCTCTCGCTTCTCAGGTGTATTTACCTCATAGATACTGTAGGTGGTGTGTGCCGGCTCTAACTCCCAGGATTTAGAAGGCTGAGACCGAAGAATAAACCTGGACTACACTGTGACAGGGATCAGATAAGAGTGAGAAGACCTGGTGTGCTATCACACAGCAAGGCGACTGCAGTTAAATATCATGCTGTATAATTCAAAAAAAGGAGAAAGGTTTTGAGTGTTTTCACCATAAATAATATGATATATGAGAAGATATGTTTAACCTAATTTAAACCTGTGTGTGTCAAGGAGATTATACTTTATGGAGATTATACTCCATACTTATGTATAAATTTTTATGTAGCTAACAATTTTTTTTTTTGTTAAAATGAAACTGTAGGGGAAACTAAAAAGCTGAACCTAGTCAAGCACCAGTCTTAGGGATATTCTAAGATGGGCTTGAATTAAGAACTATAGGACAGCTGGGCAATGATGGCACACCTTTAACCCCAGCACTTGGGAGGGAGAGGCAGATGGATCTCTGAGTTTGAGGCCATTACAGAATTCCAGAATAGTCAAGGCTACACAGAGAAGCCCTGTCTCAAAAAACCAAAGTAAAGAAATAAATATAATAATAAAAATAAATCCTTAAAAATATGTAAGACAATAATTAGAAAGATTCTGAGGAAAAATAAAGGTAATTTTAGTAGACTTGTATAGGTCCCTTTCAGGGTGTTATCAGCTATCAATGATAAGGATATTCATCTTTTTTAAAAATTTTGTTTGGTTTTCCTTCTTGTGGGGGTTTTGCTGTTGCTTAAGAGAGTCTCCAGTTGGAGAGTTGGCTCAGCACTTAAGAGTGCTGCGCTTCTAGAGAAGACTTGCCCTTCTAGAAATCCTGAGTTTAATTCCCCCGCAACCACGTGGTGGATCACAACCATTTATAGTGGGATCTTATGCCCTCTTCTGGCATAAAGTTGTATTTTATTTATTATGTTCTACCTGCACTCCTATACATAAAATAAATAAATAAACTTTAGAAAACCCTTTAAAAAAAGAGTGTCTCACCATGTAGCTAAGGGTGGTCTGGAACTCAGTATTTAAACTAGCTGTCTTCCAGTTCACAGAGATCTGCCTGCCTCTCCTCCAGAGTGCTGGGATCAAAGGTATGTGACACCAAATCTGGATTATAAGGTTATTTTCTTTTTCTCTTTTGTTGTTTGTATGGTTTTGTTTTCCAAAATTGGTTTTCTCTATATAGTTTTGGCTGTCCTGGAATAAACTCGGTGGACCAGGTTGGCCTTGAATTTACACTCACCTGCCTCTGCCGGTACTGAGTGCATCAACACCACCTGGCCTATAATGTTATTTTCTTTTTCTTTTTTTTTTTAAAACAACCCCCCCACCTTTTTTTTTTTAAGATTTATTTATTATTATGTATACAGTGTTCTGTCTGTATGCTTGCCAGAAGAGGGCACCAGATCTCATTAGAGATGGCTGTGAACCACCATGTGGTTGCTGGGAATTGAACTCAGGACCTCTGGAAGAATAGTCAGTGCTCTTAAACTCTGAGCCATCTCTCCAGCCCATAATGTTATTTTCTTAATCAGGCATGGTGGCATATGCCCGTTTCCCACTTAGGCCAAGGGAGAGAAATTACTTGAGTTTAAGTCTAACTTGGGCAACACTGTGAGTTCCATATCAGACTAGGCTACACAATGTGTCCCTGTCTCAAAACAAACAAACAACAACAGAACCAAAACTAAAATAACAACAAACAAATAAAAGAGAATCTTATCTGTCTGCTCAAGGAGAGATGCTTTTCTCATAGGAAATACCATGATTTGGCTTTAGGTGAAGGTATGTCTGTATTCCTCTGTGTGTGTATGATTAGAAGCATTTTTTTTTTTTTTGGTTTTTCGAGACAGGGTTTCTCTGTGGCTTTGGAGCCTCTCCTGGAACTAGTTCTTGTAGACCAGGCTGGCCTCAAACTCACAAAGATCTGCCTGCCTCTGCCTCCCAAATGCGGGATAAAGGCGTGCACCACCACCGCCTGACGCTTAGAAGCGTTCTTGCTGTGTTTTAAGTACCTTTAGCTCAAAATAACCATCATACCAAAGTGGTACATTTGGGAGTAGCATGTTCTAAACCCATCAATAGGCAACCATAGGATTACACCTATTTTCTAAAGTCTCCAATCAGAGCAAAGCCTTATATCCTTGAACCCTTCCCCCAAAGCATCCAATACATGCACTGTCCTCCAAAGCATCCAATACATGTTAGAGTCATGTTCTGTCTTCAGAAGGGTCAATTACCTAGAAGGCTTAATGGACTGAGAAACTTGGATAGGAAAGTTAACTTGACTGGTATCACCATGGAAACTTACTTTAAAAAAAAAAAGATTTATTTATTAACTATGTATACAGAATCTGTCTGTAGTCCAGAAGAGGGTGCCAGACCTTATTACATGGTTGTGAGCCACCATATGGTTGCTGGGAATTGAACTCAGGACCTCTGGAAGAATAGTCAGTGCTCTTAACCTCTGTGTCATCTCTTAGCCCTACCATGGAAACTTCTGATAAGAAGACTCACATACCAAATCCTTCCAGACTGCAGGGGAACTGACCTGCAGTTCTCTTCCATCCCCAAAGTTTCCCCCCTTTCTATCCTATAAAACGCCAAGAACACCCCCACCCCCACCCCAGGCCACTGGGCACAGTCTCATTTCCTTGGAGAGACTGTAGCCCTTCAGTTATTCTGATCACAAGAACAATTTTGCTTCTGGAAATTGTAATGATAATGATCTGTTCTGTTCCTCTATTTATTTAATTTAATTTATTTATTTATTTTTTGGTTTTTTGAGACAAAAAACCAAAGGTTTCTCTGTAGCTTTGGAGCCTGTCCTGGAACTAGCTCTTGTAGACCAGGCTGGCTTCGAACTCAAAGAGATCCACCTACCTCTGCCTCCCAAGTGCTGAGATTAAAGGCATGCGCCACCACCACCATTCTGTTCTGTTCCTTTAAGAGACAAGCCATGCCCACTCCCTCCCCTGTCTGCTGAGGCAAGCTGATCTTCAGCTTCCAGCCCGAGTCCTTTCCTTTTATGACTTCCTCTTGTAGAGGCAGCTTATGCCTCTCCCCACTTCTCCCCTTCCCTGTCTTCTGTCTCTCCCTCCCTCTTTCCTTATCCCTCTCCCTCCCCCCTCTCTCTTTCTCTCTCTGCCTCTCTGCTCTTCTCCCCTTCTCCCCTTTCCTTCCATAACCCACTACATATCCAACCTCACTCTGCATGGTGTGCCTATCCATGTCTCTTGCCTGCTGCATGGCTCCCTAACTGGGACCCGCCACCTTCGCAGACCTGCAGCGTGGTCTCGTGGTATGTCCATCTGTCTGTCTCTTCTCATGATCTCATGCTCCATCCCTGGTACTGGCTGCTCTTGGGACTCCTTGCCTGTCTCCTGCCCCTGTTCGGGGACCTGCAGCATTTTTAATTAATCCATTACAGAGATGTCTACTGTCTTTTATTTTCACATCACCTCCAGATCCTGATCTAACATCTTCCTATAATATGCCTTCTCCGTTGTGAAGATAGTAAGGCCAAATTTCAAGGACTATAAAATGTGATAAGTTGAAAGTAGAAGCGTGGGGGAAGAAAGCGGCGCATGATAGGGGTGTTTTCTAAAACTTATCAGAGCCAGAGAAATGACTTGGCAGTTAACAGCACAACTGCTCTTTCAGAGAACTTGGGTTCAGTTCCTAGCACCCACATCAACACTTGTGTAACCCCTAGTTCTGTCCTCCCCAGGCACCTCATACACGTGGTGCATAGACACACACGCCGGCAAAACACCTACACACATAAAATAATGAAATACAAAACTGTACGAGAAGATGACTCCTGACCGTGTCAAGGAAACGGGGAGGGTCCCAGGCAGAGGGAGCAGGAAATGCAAAAACCAGAAGGGATTAATGAGCTGTGCTGGATTCATGAGCAAAAGAAATGCTTAGTGCCAGGCTTTCCCAGAATCTGGTTTTTATTTATTTTTTTAAAAATATTTATTTATTATGCATACAATAGTCTGTCTGTGTGTATACCCGCAGGCCAGAAGAGGGCACCAGACCCCATTATGAGATGGTTGTGAGCCACCATGTGGTTGCTGGGAATGGAACTCAGGACCTTTGGAAGAGCAGGCAATGCTCTTAACCTCTGAGCCATCTCTCCAGCCCCAGAATCTGGTTTTTAAAACTGGGAAATTTTCCACGATGGATAGAACCAATTGTGAGTAATGGAAACCTGCCTTGCGCACACCAATAAAGCACTTTGTTTCAGGTTGTGGTTTTGCAGCAACTTTAACCCACACTTTGCTTTGTTTCCTCATTTCACAATAAAACCTCTGCCTGGTAGCCCTGATGCCACTGATTCGCAGCTGATGAGCCCCAGGTGCAGGATGGACAAGTGTATTTTCATGTGTCTATTTTCAACATGTTCATCTGATAAAGGGTGCGTGGTGTAGTATTGCTCCAGTTTTAGGCTGTGGCCTTGAAATCCATTTATAGATGCTTGTTTTTTCATGGTGGTTTGTGTGTGTTTGCGATACAAATTTTACT